AAAAAAAAAAAAAATTACTCCTCATGTATTTTACTGACATTTAGCACCAATTATTTTTCTTTCTTGACCCACAATTTTTAATAAGCTGGTTTCCACAGCAACAATGAGAGAATTCCTAGGTTAAGAACTATACAGTAACTAATTTTATTAGGACTCCCAACATAGAATGAACTAACATAGTCTGAGTGATTCTTGGAGAGAATTGCTGATGAATTTTACCAATTACTACAGAATCAACCAGTAACATGTCAGTCTGACTCACGGAGATGACGTCAATAAAATATCTGTTTAATCAAGGCACTCTTTTATGTTATGATGACAACTACTTAGAAACGACAATTACAGGGCTTACTTTATGAAAACATACAGTGATTCTGCAATACATCTACATTTTCCCAAATCTTCCCAGGTTACCCCTGAAATGAAATGCCTTTTATTTACTCCCAAAAGTAAGATAAGAATATGAAAATGAAAAGTAGCAGGAAGAGGGTGGAAAATTTTCTTGCCAACTTTTCCCCAATGTTTCCAGAGTCTAAGTCCTTGGTTAAAAAAAAAAAAAAAAAAGCCATCTCAGTCAAAACTCAAGATCTAAACTCCTCTCTTAATCTCTGGCAACAAATATGACAATCTTCTGGACAGGCACCTGAAAAACGTTCAACCATTTTTCAAAGACTGATGAGTTACTTGCTCTGAGGCAAAATTCTCAGGGTTACTTCACTTATACCATCACACCTTTCTTTATTCTCCTAGAACGTTCTGAACCCAATCAAATTATTCCCAAACAAATGCTAGAGAACTTTCCTCATCTGGACCCCTCTTGTTTGCCATGCTATCTTTTCTTGGCTCCTTTCACTCTTTTTTTCCATTATTTTTCCCAGACCAAGCCTTTTATTTTGTACCACCCACCAGCCAGACTCTTCCCTTCAAATTCTACCTTCTTTCAGAATTCAAATATACAGAAATGATAGTAACTGATGTCCCACTCACTTGAACCAGGAAGAGAACCCTATAGGTAGGGAAAGTGCTGGGGATGGGATGCCCAGAACAGTAATGGGCTCTGCAGGGTCAATGCAGCTTTCCAGGATGGACGAGAGGATGAGAGCTGGTGAATGAGGAAAACACTCCAGTCAGACTGAACGCTAGCTTTGTGCCCCGCTCCCCACTCTCCACGGTTTAGGACATTATTAAACATTGCCCACCTCCCCCCCAGCCTGGACCAGTGTCTTCCTAGTGTTCTCCAAATTTTCTAGAGGCTGCCTCTTTTCCCTTGCTCTGCCCACACCCAGCCCTGGGCTCTTCTGGAACAGACCCAGAAAGGTTCGTCCTCAGAGCTGGCCACCCACAGTGTCTGGCCCGCTTTGGCCCTGCTCTCTGTCCACTTCCAGGAAGACCTCCTGCAGGAAGGGGATCAGGTGCCCCCTAAGCCCACTCCTGGCTTTCTGCAGACTTTCACCCAATCTGCTTCCTCCACAACCCTCCTCTCAGCCCTCACCCCTGGCCTGGCTGTCTGACAGGGGACCAGTTAATTACAAGAACACTGTAGTGATGTGAGAGCGACTACACTATTCTACTCAGAGCCTGGCAAGGCACTGCTAAGCACTCTCCGTGGTTGTCCCTAAACCCTCACCATAACTCTATGACCCACGTGTCACCTCCATTTTACAGATGGGGAAAACTTTGTTTGGCTCAGGGAGGTTAAGCGACTTGCCCAAATCACAGAGTTTATGATGGAGCTGGGATTCAAATCCAGTTTTTTTTTTTTTTTTTTTTTTTTTAAAGATTTTATTTATTTTACTTTTTGCCCCCAAAGCCCCAGTAGATAGTTGTATGCCATAGCTGCACACCCTTCTAGTTGCTGTATGTGGGATTCGGCCTCAGGATGGACAGAGAAGTGGTGCCTCGCTGCGCACCCGGGATCCGAACCCGGGCCGCCAGCATCGCAGCGCGCGCACTTAACCACCAAGCCACAGGGCCGGCCTCAAATCCAGTTTTAACTGGCTCTTAAACACCAGGGATGGATAAGGCCTTTCTGAATAATCTTTGCTTCCATGGGAAAGCAGGAAGGCTTTTGGGTCCAATGCTCCTGGTCCAAATCTAGCTCCACTGTTTACTGTGTGAACTCGGGCATGCTTTTTGAACAACTGTGAACTCTCAACATCTTCACCCAATAACACAGAGTTATTACTTCACAAAACTGGGAAGACGGAAGAAGAACATGGATATCAAGGGCCAGGAACTCACAAGGCACTCAACAAATATTAGCTGCCTTCCCAACAAACACTGTTAATTGTGTCCAGTGGAGGGCTGCTCTGCTTTATTAACTCAATAATACACACGGATGGATCGAGTGAACCAATGTTCAGTGGCAGGAGCCACACAGACATACCAAATTTAATGAAAGCGCTCTTCTTGTACACAGAGTGGCCTATTTTCATCTGGAAATGTGAAGAGAGAAAGTACAGTCAAGCTTAACAACCAGATACGTTCTGAGAAATGTGTGGTTAGGCGATTTCATCATTGTGCGAACATCATAAAGTGTACTCACACAAACCCAGATGGTATAGCCTACCACACACCTAGGCTATATGGTACTAATCTTATGGGACCGCCATCGAATAGGCGGTCCACTGTTGACAGAAACATTGTTATTGGCGCATGACTGCAGAGAGGAAAATAAAGACGGAGAGCAGACACCTTACAGTCATAAAATGGGCCCCAGCCTTAATACATCCTAGCTGCTGAAAGATAAACACAAATGTGAATGCTGGGTGAATAATACTTTCCTTATGGATGTGAATTAGTAACAGAAAATAAATAGATGGGCTCTGGCCAAGTACAAGAAATGAAAAAAAAAGGTTTCTATTATTAACTTCCTGATTTCTGAAAATCCTCCTAAACCATCTCAAAGGATCAAACTGAGTAAGGAATTACAGTTAACTCTAGGAACCCACTCCCACAGGGGTGGGGAGAGGGTCTTCCCAGAGGTGTTTTCTTCAAATTTCTCGAACATTTTATTTTCTTACCAAGCTTTTTTCCTCTCCAGAATAGTGTAAGACTTATATTTACACAGTAACTCATAAAATGTATGGCATAAAGTGGAAAAGAAAGCAGAGAGAGAGGGAAGGAGGGAGAGG